CAAAATCCCAGATGTGTAAAATACGCCTAGGTTTTAAAGGTGCAGCCTCTCTGCTACAGGTCCCTTTTACTTTTTAAGACATGTTTTACATACAATTCAAAGCCTTCTGAGCATATAGCCCTTACAGTGTGCTGGTTAGGGTAGCAAGGGAGAAAAAAAAAAAGGGCAGAAAAAAATCTGGTATTTGTAAAGTCATCTATACATTATAATAAAATGTAACCATTTGATTTACAAAATAATTACTGCAAGTTCAACAGACCTGCTCTTCATAACAGAAAAATAAAAAAAAAAAGTATAAAGAGGGATCCTTGATTTGATGATCTGGATGAAACATCTTAGTTGGGGGTTTTCCCCCTTTCTATTCTGCTGCCCCTCCGAAAACCTCCTGTGTAGATCATACACTGCAGGTTCACCCTCCTTAACTGCAGGCTTTTTCAAGAGACAGCAGTATCTGTAACTACCAGCCACAGGGAGGGGGGTGGAATTAAAAAGGCTATAGACACACAGAGGTTTGGCTGCTCCTGGTTTTGATCAGAAATGGCTTCTCAGCAGTGACACACAGCACTGTTTTCAGGCAAAACATAAATAAACATGTGCATAAAGTTTTGATTCAGAGCAATGCCACACTAATTCTGTGATCCATCAGATCTTAGAAGATAAACATGATGTGATGGGGTCGTCTCCTGCTAGAAAGGCTTCTGAAGAGGAACTGGAGAGCTGCAACTAGTTAGTGATTAAGTGGATAGGACACTTTTCACTGTCTGTAGCCTGTGGCCAGGCAAAGGAGCAGGGAGCACTTGGTTGGCATTTGGTTTCATTTTGTGCTTTTAAAAAAATAAAACAGAGAAAGAAGGGAATCTTTCAAATATTAGTTGAGGAATTCCTCCCCAAGGGTAGTCCTGCACCAAGGATATTATTGTATAGACCTGCTACACAGGACGGTCTCCAAGTCAGATTATGAGCTCATTCAGGTCACCTGCTTGCAAGGCTGTCATCAGGGACAGCTTTATGGTACCTCATACAACATTCCCAGAGGGCAAGCTCAGGTTCTGTATCTCCCAGATTGCTATCCACTACTCAGTCATCTGTTTTGGGATGTGTTTGGGCCCATCATTCTGTGCAGCTTCAGCTATCCCATCCTGCTGGGATGAGATAACAGTGGGAGACACGCACACATGCACAAGAAACTGCAGAATCACCCAGCACCCTTCCAACACAGGTGTTTTCACCTCCTGCTATGAGCACACCTGGCGTCCCTGAACAGCCTGACAATGGACTGCCTTGAGGACAAGGAAGAGCTAGTGATGGTCTCGGGAGGTGAATGATGCCAGTGCTATTCCATCAAGTACAGCTTGGACCTCTTCTTGGACTGTGAAGTCTGGTACTTGAGACAAAGTCTAACTCATCTCACCGATTCCCTGGTGATATTGGCTGCAGAGAACATTACACATTTTCTGCACCAAATTGTTGCATGGTATCACCATGCACTGTGAACCAGCTGCCCTTGCTCATCAGCTGGAGGCATCAGTTTTCCAGGGTTTCCTTTGTCCTCAGACCTACCAAGGACTGCACCTGTAAAAAGCCCTGATGAATTAATACTGCAAACAGGGAAACAGCATGCTCATAACCAACTTCAGGACCAAAGTCCTATCAGACTAACCGCATAATGAAAGGCGCTGTATAACAAACAGGACTACATGGCTGTCAAAAGGAGACATGAGTACTTTCAACAGGTCAGATATCCAGAAATGGGCTGCACTAGTTTGTGTCAGCTCTATTCAAAAGATCTAGAAGTACTGTCGTACATAGGTGGAGATTAAAAAGGATTGCAGAACCCTTAATGTTATACAGCTCCTTTTGCCTGAAAAAGAAGGGTGTGTTCAGCAAGACCCAAGCTGTGTTGCTTGTGCAAGGCAAAATCCTGCCCTGACCTCCTACTGATTGCTGCTTTAAATCCACACTAGCCCCTGACACTGAAAGAGGAGAACATACAGACCTTCTAGATAATGAAACATGCTCCAGCAGCACAGGCACGATATTCCTTTGTACCAGCCTCTCCAAGGGAAGTGAGACCAAAGAGTTTCCGATGAGAAATGAGAAACCAGTGCCAAAGAGGATGGTGAAAGCACAAAGAGGCACCAACAGCTCTCCACAGAGGGACAAAAGCACAGAGTCACAAAGCATAACCTTTGGTGCAACCGCCACTGCCACGGCTGTGAGCCCTGCCTAGGATAACCAGATGCCCTCATAACATCAGGACAGGCTCATTTCTCCATGATTTTTCAGTAATTTGGAGGGATGTCATCAGACCTTAGCCCTAACTTCTTGCAAGCTGGGCATTAAATCTAGGATTATGCCAATACACCCACCTAGTCTGGGTCAAAAGGTAGCAACACCAGGGCTCTGAAAGAAGCCACCATCCAGGGGAAGCCAACCTGGAGTCCACCAGCATTTTGAAAAGTTAAAGGTTCCCACTGGGTTCTTAATTAGTGTTTTGTACATGACGCTTTGCAAACCAAACTTTGGCCATGGTAACATTTTTTAGGACTTCTCATATTTCCAAAACAAATTAGGAGGGTTTTAAAACGAAAAGAAAAAGGGGGTGGGTAAAGGAATAAACACCCCAAAAGAAACCCCATATGAATTATTCATAATTTGCCACTTGTCAGGCAGTGGCTTTAACAGGCCAGAGAAATTTAATGAATGCCTTATACAGTGTGAACGATGTACCTACATGCCCAATTAGCACTGCAAACAAACATAAACATCTCAGTAAAATACATAAATGAATATTGCTTTGGTTTCCTATGCTTTACCACTTCGAATATATTTCTGAAACACATTTTATTTTAGAAGACAACACTCCATCACACTCTGTCATCTGCAGAGACCTGTTCATGCTTGTGCTTCTTTGTTATTAACAAAGCTTATGCTTTACAAGGGGTCATGGAATATAAAACAAATACCTACCAAAATGTTTTACTCAAGCAATCAATAGAAATCCTCATTGAACCCCTCATTGAGAGGGTTTTTTTGTGGTTTGTGTGCCTTTACTTGGATGCATACCACTTGTACAGACTTTTAAATTACATTGCAGTGTTCTTCACTGTTATTGATTGATCTGAGATTTTTGGCAAGTCATTTCACCACTGTGTGGTTCTGTCTCTTCCTACCTATCCTCTGTGTCTAAATAGCCTTCATAAACCCTTTGGGGCAGCGACTGTTTTTCACTGCCAGCTTGTAGTATCTGTCACCGTGGGATCTGATTTCAGATGTCCTGATCAACTAATAATAACATTCATGTTGTAAGAGATTAATTTTTTAAAGAATAAAATGAAAACACCAAGCCATTACTTGCAGAAATACAATACCAGTTCTATGGATAAACCATAAATACTTAGAAAGACCCTTTCTTCCTAAAAAGCTCAACAAGCTTTAAATAACATAACAAAAAAGAGAAACAAACAGAACCATAAAAGGACAGCACATAGGATGAAAATATAATCATCGTGATTGTGAAACTCAGCAATTTCCCAAGGGTTTTTAAGAACCATATCTCATAGCTTAGGTCAGGAGACCAAAGATGCAAGGAAGTTTTATGCAGTGCCAGCTTCCTTCCTCAAAGTGAAATTCAAAGAGGTATCTGAGGACATCAAGGAAACTCCTTGTTGGGGGAGTCTGAATAAGCTCTTTTTGTAAATGATTTTTAGTATCTGAATGCTATTCAGATAGTCTAATAACAAGAGTAATATTAATGACTAAAGGGATACAAGTGAAGACTTCTGTTTTAATGTCTCATCCTCCTCACTAGCTGGATAGCAATGTTCAGATTAAGAGGGAGGAATTCTGCAGCTCACTGAAATCAGTTCCTACAGCAATTGGTGACAAAGTTGCTTACTACTTACTAAAAATTACTTAATATTGACCCAAAAGAACACTGTTGGGTCCCAACTGGATTTGCTACTTTTCTAGAAGCAACTGGTACTAATCTACTCAAATGCAGGAGGTGCTTTCTCAGATATGAAAAAAATAATCTTCAGTTTCTCCAACTCAGAAACATTAATTTTATTACCCTTAAAGCACATGCACAGACCTGAATGCCTATCAAGGCAAAGCAGCTGTTACAGTTCTGCAAGTCAGATTAAATGTACACAAACCCCTACACTATTTCACACATATTTAAAGGAGGCATTTTTAAATTTTATGGGTTCATCTGTTCTGACGAGTATTCCAGTATGTAAGTATCACAGGCATAACATAAATACTCAACATAAATATGAATCCAGAAGACCTTTTAATTAATATTTCGATTACTGACTCTTAATTAAGCAAATTCAACATCTTGATTTTACTTTATTTTTCCAACAAAACCTCCAGTACCATGACGCATTCTTTTCCTGAAATCTTTTATGCTCTTTTTACTGGAAAATGACCAGAGTGAGTGTTGAAAAAGCTCTTTTTACTGGCTTTTCAGAAATTCCAGTAATTCTTCTAGAAGTTTACAGGGCAGAAATTTTCTTCTGCATATAACCAAGTAGATAAAACAAAAAGCAAAATTCTTTGGGAAATGTATTCTGTGTACACAGTATAACTGAAGGTTTTTGAATAGGCTTCACTAGCAGTAGCTGCAATAGAAAGACCATGAGACAACAGACCAGTGCTACCAACAATAGAAGCTCTACATTAGTAATAACGAGGTTTATCCTCTTAATTCTAAAAACATTGCTCAACTTTTATTCACTTTACAGCTTCTATCACCAAGACTGAAATATGACCAATTTGAGTTACAGATCCTATGGTAAAATGATACAGAATACTTCCAATAACAATTATCAAGAAAGTCATTATGTTAGACTCTAATGTAAATACTTCCTTACACTGCCACAGAAATGAGAGACTCCTGACTTGAAATTGTCACGCCAGTTGCTACAAGAAGGCAGCTTCTCTCATCCCAAGTTTTCAGACTTCATGCGTGAGACAACAGCCAAATATAACAAATCCACATGGAAAGAGAAATCAGAAATACCAGCAAAATCAAGTACTGTATTATATATATATAAATATATATATTTATATATACACACAATGTATGTAATGACTGTAACATAATGAAGGCGTCACAGTGCACCACCTCATACTGATAAGTGCAGAGAAGGCATCTCAGTAGACCTGAGGTTCAAGGAGAGTTTTGCAAATGAGTAGTGTAGTGGCTGTGCAGGGAATCTGGGGGGTAATTACACTTTACCTAGCCAAAGTACTCAATAGTTTAAACTGAAGAAGTGTTCACCTCCTCCCTCAGTCTGATACAAGAGTTGAGCAGCTGCTGCCTTTCCCACTCCACGAGGATTCCATGATGGGAGCACCTACGTGCTCTATTAGTTTATTAAGCTTGCAAGAGGACTCTGCAACACTTTGAAATATAAAATGCTGTTCCTATAAAAAAAACAAGGACAGAGAATTAAAATATAATGGGATTAATCCTTGTTTATACTAACATACAATTTTGGAAGCGTGTGAGAGGCTTATGTGACATTTATTAATGCAGATTTAGCACAAAGAAGGACTAAGTAAGGAAATAACTACAGCAAGGAAATAAATAAATAACTTAGCAAGGAAACTAACACAGCCATTTCATTTCCTACTAGTTAAAGAACCAGCCATATGAACGTAACATGATAGAAACTATTCAGTATAACTCATATGGGGTACAAATAGGACCATTCCTCAGTTTTCAGTCTAAGTTTAGGCAAAGAGAAAGGTGTGTGTTGTAAGAACTTACATGTGAAATGGATGGCCTGGAATGAGCCTGAGGCCCTAATTTTGTTTCCTCTCAGCTTCTGTAGGAAAAGTTAGGTGTTGCTTTATGAAATGGCTATATTTTATGAGAAATATGCAGATTAATTCATGATTGGCATGAAGGAAATCAAGCTGGAAGATTCTCATTTTATATTACAAAAAGCACCTTAAAATGTGCAATTACACAAATCATATCACTCATTTCATTCTGAAAAATGCAAGGACAATGTGAGATATAAAGATACCAAGATTAAACAGATAAGTAATAAAAGACAGCTTGTACCTGTTTGCAGGAAGGATTTCCGCTCTGGAATACTAATGTTACATTAATATAGCTACACAATTCACTTGCTAGTATACAGTGTAGAAAATTTTGCCCATTATACTCCTACTATTATTTTCCAGTTGTTCTGCTATGCATCAGCACTACTCATAATGATGAAATCTATTTCTATGCTTTTTTCCTTTTTTTCTCTGCATACTGAGGACACAATATTTTTTTTCTGAGTTTTTAAAAACAAACAAACTCACTATGACTGCAGAGAGTGAGTGATCTTAATTTTGTCCTCAGTGTCTGACCTAATAAACTTCCAAAGGAAAACCCTGGCCCCCGGTGTGGTAATCTGGGAACTCGGTGAACCATTTAATAATTCTGGATAATTTAATGAAATGACTACCATCACTGGCTATAGAAACTAGCATATGTTGTCAAGGCTGTGTCACGTATCTCCCAGACCACGGACAATGGGAGATTGTTATTACCAGGCTTTCTCCCATCAGAACAGGCATGATCTGGAATCATGAAATGCCAAAATTCTGTGTCAAAACAAGTTTCTGCATGCTTTCTGAAGTAAACTCGAGCACAGAGGGTAGAAATATCTTACAGGCAGAATAAACTAGTTGCTGGCAATGCCAGGCCTGAAAGACACACTGCTTGAAAGGTTCAAGGTGAATTCCAGGGACACAGGAAGATGCTTCAGTAGCACAAAAGCTGTGGAGCAGGCAAGAAAGACAGACATTGGTGGCAGATGGGATTCCATGGTTTGCAAAGAAGGTGTACGGGGAGCTCCATGAAGTACACTGATCTGAACCAAGGATGGTTCAAGAGAGTCAAAAATGTTATACAGAAATGTAAGGAGGTATTACTTCATCTATGGATTTTCTGGGGTAGCAGACATAGCCAATTTATCTTGTCTAAAAACCTTAAAACACATGCATGCTTGCTTTTAATTCCATTTTCACATAGTCCTGAACCCCTGAACTGTTGCCTTTGCTTCCCGAGGTGAGAGATCTGAAACGAAAGGCGCAGTCATGACCTAGGTGTTTATGGTCCTGCACTGCTTCTGAAGGTAAATGACACCACAACTGTCTCAGTATCAGAGAAGGATGCAGAAAGTGAGCCAGGGAGGTCAACATGCTACCTCAGCAGCAAAGGGGCACAGCATGGGGTTCCGGCTAGGTGGTAACTAAACGCTACCTGGTAAATCTCCCTTTCTGTAGGAAGGTCACAAACATATGAAAGTCATCCTACACAAATATGTTTCTCCCCCCCTTCTCAGGCAGCACCATTGTTTCAGCAGTTTCTTAAAGAAACTTGTTTCACAAGCCTTGTGAGAACTTGGGAAAGAAACATAGATTCATTAAGAATAACTCAGGCTTTCAGATGAAGAAGTGGGAATGCTATTTTTCCCTTGGGAATGAGTTAACTGTGGATATTTTAGAGGGGCAGCTTTGGACCAGCATTCTCCGGGAGAAACTGGATGGTCATAGCTTGGATGGGTGCACTGTTTTCTCGGTAAAAAACTGGCTGGATGGCCAGGCCCAGAGAGCTGTGGTGAATGAAGTTACATCCAGGTGGCAGCTGGTCACCAGTGTAATGCCCCAGGGCTCAGTACTGCTTCATATCTTTATCAAGGCTCTAGACAAGGGGATCATGGACACTCTCAGTCACTTTGGAAACAATACTGAGTTTGCCAAGAGCTTTCATCTCCTGAAGGGCAGGACGTATCTGCAGAGCGATCTGGACATGGGCGATGACCCATGTGTCAGGTTCAACAAGGCCAAGTGACTTGGGTCACAACAATCCCATGCAGTGCTACAGCCTGAGGGCAAAGTGGCTGAAAAGGTGCCTAGAGGAAAAGGCCCTGCAGGTGCTGTTCAACATACAGCTAAACATGAGCCATCATGTGCCTACATGGCCAAGAAGGCCAATGGAATCCTGGCTTGAATCAACAACAGTGTGGCCATAAGGATCAGGTGCTCATCCCCCTGTGCTCGGCCCTGGTGAGGCCACCCCTAGAATCCTGTGTTCAGTTTTGGGCCCCTCGCTACAGGAAGGACACTGAGGTGCTGGAGGATGTCTAGAGAAGGGCAACAGAGCTGGTGAAGGATCTGGAGCACAATTCTGATGGGAAGCAGCTGAGGGAACTGGGGTTGTTTAGCCTGGAGAAAAGGAGGCTGAGGGGAACCCTTACTGCTTTCAACGACTACCTGAAAGGAGGTCATAGCAAAATGGGACTTGGTCTCTTCTCTCAAGTAACAAGCAAGAGGACAAAAGTAAATGGCCTCAAGCTGCACCAGGAGCGATTTAGATTGGATATTAGGAATAATTTCTTCCCTGAAAGCATTGTCAAGCACTGGAACAAACTGCCCGGGGAAAAGGTTGAGTCACAAACCCTGGAGATGTGGTGCTTAGGGACATCATTTAATGGTGGACTTGGTAGTCCATCTTAAAGGTCTTTTCCAACCTAAATGATTCTATGATTTCAGCATATGTTGACGAACTAAGTGATGGCCAGTCTCTTCGCGAACGAAGAACCGGGGAAGGTCTTTCCACCTTCCAGCCTGCGCATTG